TGTGGATTTCAGATACTGGATTTTGGAATTTCCTGCAGAGTTTAACTTGGATCTTGGGCTGATTCGTTTGACTGAAGAGTTTCGAGAAGTAGCCAGCCAGCTCGGATATGAGGATCACATCCATCTCATTGATATCTCCAGCATGTAAGGATTTTGTGAGCTTCCACATCTTTCTGTCTGTCTCTATAACAGCAGAATTCTAGTTCTGTGCAAAATACAAAAATATTAAGGGCCATCTGGATCTTGAGAGAGCAAAAAAGCAGTTACCAAAAGATTATATTGTCTTCTAAATTTGAAGTTATTGAAAATTTGAAATTCTAGTTGTAGGGTCACAATAAAGAGAAGATTCTTACCTGTATGTAAGTTTTTAATATAGATGGGAAAGAAATAATTTTCCTGACAAAGCTAGTGCCAATTAAGTGATTAATGTTACTTTTTTCCTATAATTTTTCATACAGAATGACAAGTAATGCAGTGACTGGCATGTTGTGTAAGTCTTGCATTTTCTCAGGGAAGCTTTTTTATCCTCTCATCAGTAACCTGTAATTTTTTCTAATGGCTTTCTGTGTGCTTCTTTCCTATGATTTAAGTGGATAATCTAACATTCACATTTGTAGTTTTATTGTATAAAAATGATTACACTACTATGTCCTTCACACACTGAAATGAAAGTTACCTTTTAAACATCACCAGACAGGCTCTTTTATCTGATATTGTAGATTTTCTTTTAAAATATGGTATATACATAGTGAATTTTCCCTATTTAAAAATGTCATAGTAACCTGGAAGGAGAGCATTACTGATGTCAATAAAGGTTGCAAGATTTCCTGCAAGAACAGAAGCAGTGAAATTGCATGAATACTGTCTCTTAAATCTTCATTTGAAAATACTGTTAGCAATCTTGTTCTGCTCTCTGAAGTGCTTTTACTGTATATGGGCAGGAATTACTCCGTTGCTTGCAAGCAAATGATTTGCCTTTTTGTCCACCCACTTCTTACTGTTTTGTTAGCTGTCTGGCTGACCGTTTCTGCTGTTCCATTATTTCACGGACCTGGGGTCTTACAGAGTAAAACTCTTTTTTTTATTCTGTATCAGAGTTTGGCGTGACCTGTTCTTCGTGTATTCCCAAGACATCTTTTAGTTATGACTTCCTGTATCATAGAGAAGAGTACGTTGGCCTTTTGTTCTGTTAGAAACCTGCTATTATTTATCTTTTGCAGTGGCACCTTCAACATTCTTATCCTCTATTATGCACTTGAACGGGTCTTACTCTGAGTTTTATTATGTGCTGAATGTCACCGATCAGAAAACTCATGGTCTGTCTCTTGGTGATTTGATACTGTGTGTGCAAACCAGGGGCTACACTCACAGGTACCCAAGCAGAAATGAGAATTGTACCTATTTTCTGTTGCAGTCCTTCTTATGACTGGATGAGAAGAGTTACACAGAGGAAGAGGATTTCTAAGAAGGGAAAAGCCTGCCTGCTGTTTGATCATCTGGAGCCCATCGAGCTAGCTGAACACCTCACTTTTCTGGAGCATAAATCTTTCAGGAGAATTTCTGTAAGAAGCCTACAACGTTCACTTGCAATTAGGAGCCTGTCCTTAAAGAGTGTTCACATGGTTTAACATTTATGAATTTTCCCTCAACATTTCAGTGCAGTAAATCTTTATAATCCTTCATACGATGTACATAGCCATGACTGCACCAGCACTTCCTTGATCTTTTTCATGATTGATGCTTTTACTGACAGAAGTTAATTTTGTGGAGAAATTCTGGGCAAAAATTACTGCTAAAAGCTACTGCACCTATGTGTTGCAGCAGTTGGTTAAACTAATATTATTGTTCAAATCTTCAAGTGTTTTTTTTTCTCCAAGGAAAATAGTTAATTACTTTTCTGGAAACATCAGAGTCTTTGCAATGAATAATTTTTGAAGAAACTTCTGTAGTCCTGTTCACTCCCAGCCACTTCTCAGAAACTATCCTTTCATTTGCCAACTTCGGATCAGAAGATAATTCAGGTTGGAAAGGATCTCAAGAGGCCTCTAGGACAATCCCCTGCCTACAGCAGGGTCAGCTCTGAGCTAGATCATGATTTTCAGGGACTTGGCCAGTTGGGTCTTAAAAAGCTGCAATAACAGAGACAGCACAACTTTGCTTTCCTCTTTCTCCTATATTGGCACTGAGGAAAATTCAGATACAGTTGCTTCTTTTCACAGGATTATACAGGAACAAGAGGCAAAAAAAAGGATGAAAATGAAAGTAGAAGCTAAAGCAAAACAAATGAGTAACAGAAATGCCAAAAGAAATGCTGGTTTCTGCTGGCAAATATCCGTATGAAAAGGTCTCATGATGCCACTGTATCTGTGGCAAATGGAAGCAGTAAGTTCTCAAGATGACAAGTTCTCGTCAGCAAAAAAATGAGGCTTTTTTTAAAGTGTTTGGGAGCATGAAAGAAATCAAACTCCAAAACTAAGAAAAATATATTTTTTTGTTTGTTTCAAGAGAGGAAGGAAAAAGAGATCAATGAGGAGCTGAGACCAGTCTAAATAGAATTGCTTTTGACGTCAATTAATAACGTTCAAAGGTTTATTACTCTAGACTTCAAATCATGGGAAAACACCCTACTGTGATCTATGCAATGCTAACCTCAAAGAAGGAGGGAGGGACAAGAAAAAAGGGATGGATTTCTGGCTAGACTTAAGATGTCTTTTCATTCCTTTGGGAATTCCAGAAAGAATACTCAGACCTGCAATGAATTTTCTTTTTTCCTTGCTGTTTCTAATATGTCTGCTAATTGTTTGTCTTGAATTTTGCATTTTGCTATTTCACACTATCCTGTAATGCAATGAAGAGGTTTGAAAGGCGTGCTGCTAGTTTGTATGAGACTGGTAACCAAAAAGTTGTAAAAATGGTACATTTCCGGGAAATAAGGTGAAGGGCACACCTCAAAATATAGAGGTTGAAAAATGAGCCCAGTATCGCTAATCTAATTTAAAGAACAATTGAGAACTGCTACAGAGAAACAACTAGCATTTATTTGGAGATATCAGTGAGGCCAGGTGATTTGCTGTAAACTGTTCAGAAATAGAAGTGCCACATATTTTTGTAAGGTAGATGAAAGTGCTACCTCAAAGCTATGCCATGGTAAAAGATGACTGGTCTGAATCCTGTCTTTGGTTTTACCTATTTAAAAAAGCATTGGGGAGAAGGAAAGGCAGTGTTAACTACAACAGAAAACATTTAAAAGTATCTGAACACTGAGATCCTGTTTAGCTGCAGCTCTGAAACAAGTATCTGCTGTGTAAGACCATATGCCATCATCTGGTCTTCTGGCAGGCCATTTTTGGTCAGCTAAGACCAAGAAACCCATGCTGGCTGGCATTGCTACCAACTCCCTGCACAAGCTAAATTTATTGCATAAGCTTCTGAAAATCCATCTTAAATTAAGAGACAGCTGAAAAATGTTTTCCAAACATTTAGTGAAATCTAATTCTTGGGAGCTGTAGCTTTCCCATATAGAACTATGGCCATGAACATACAGGGACTGAACAGTAACATCAAAATGGTCAAAATTTAGCAGAAGTGGCTCCTTGTGCTACAGAATTTTTTGGACATAGGAGGAAGAGAACGGGTGCATAGCTAGCTTCTTGGGATGCAGCTCAAGCTCCTGTGAAGAGTAACAGAGCTCCTGTTGATTTCAGTGGGGCCAAGATTTCCCTCTGTGCATCAACAGTGCAGTTGGTCAGGATGCTGGAGTGGGATGAAAGTGCTTATTTGTATGCTTCTTGCTTGTAGCACTAGGTAGGTCCTACAGAGTATCATGCTGATATGAAGTAAAACTACACAGAATAAAATGTTGTAAGTATTAATTAAATTATGGGAAAGATGATTCCATGGAAGTAGGAATCATCATGTGTGCTGCTGTGTTACCTGACAGACAAGCGCTAAAGTTTCAAGTTGACATTTAATAAACAAAAATCTCAACAACAAAATTTTAAGAAAGAACTGATGTGCAGCAGGTTCTGCTGACCCTGAATCTCAGTCACTTTCTAAACAAGAGGAGCTTTAAAAGGCAAAAAATGATCAAAGCTTCAATTTCATTCCTAAATTGTCTGCCGTTTTACTGAAAATGCCTTTCCTCTGTTAGTTCACAGACTACCAAAGCTATGTGATCCACGGCTGCTTGGAGAACAATCCTACTTTGGAGAGATCTATTGCTTTATTTAATGGTATCTCCAAATGGGTCCAGCTCATGGTTCTCAGCAAACCAACACCCCAGCAAAGGGCAGAAGTAATCACAAAGTTTATCAATGTTGCACAGGTAAGTCTTGCATATGATTCTTTTTCCTCCAGTATAAAGGAATAATTCAAGTAGAGATTGCAGTAAACAAATTGACTGGATCCTCTTTGTGCTTTTCCTCAGTGAATAGCCTGTTCAACCTCACTGCAGATTATTTGTTCAGGTGTGGTATGTCTGCATTTTTTAACCAGCAGGCATAACTATAGAATTTTTCTTTGTTGGATTCTGATTGACAGCTGTCACTATTGGGTGTTTCTTGTGGAGAACTGTTTTAAATGATAAAAGAAATGCTGAACCATTCTGTTATGTCCCCTGGCTTAGTGATTTCTGCTTTAGCAGTGATAGGTTGTCTCCTTTCACTTGTCGTGTGTGAGACTGGATAGCTGGCATGTGTATTTCCTTGATTTTGAATTATGCACGATCAATCTCTCCTGCAGAAGCTCCTTCACCTCCAGAACTTCAACACACTGATGGCAGTTGTTGGAGGCCTAAGCCACAGCTCGATTTCTCGCCTGAAGGAAACTCACTCTCATCTGTCTTCAGAAGTCACAAAGGTATGGTGGTTTCCAGAATATAGACATACTGAGCACAACGTCACCTCTCTGAGGTCTGGTGGGTTCTGCAGTGCGGGTGTCTCACCAGCAGAGTATTTGGATCGTGGCAGGGCATCCTAAAGGGCACTGTATTCCTCTTGGTGGAGAAGGATCAGCTCACAGAGATCCTCTGCTTGAGTGCCTGTGCCACAGAGGAAATTAACTCTGCCGACACCCTGACATGAGTTATGCTTGTTTAAAAGGGATTAAGGAAATGCTGTGAATGCTTTCACGGAGACTTGCTTCTCTGGCTGTTTGTAGGACTGGAACGAAATGACAGAGCTGGTATCTTCCAATGGGAACTACTGCAACTACCGCAAGGCTTTTGCTGACTGTGTTGGCTTCAAAATTCCTATTTTAGGAGTTCATTTGAAAGACTTGATTGCTGTCCATGTCATTTTTCCTGACTGGATAGATGAGAACAAAGTTAACATAGTGAAAATGCAGCAGCTTTCCATCACCTTGAGTGAACTGATTTCTCTGCAAACTGCCTCTCATCATTTAGAGCCTAATATGGATTTAATTAACCTGCTAACTGTAAGTATTGAGCGTGTTTCAATTCACTTCAGTTATTCAGATGTTGAATGTCAGTAGGAATATTTGTATCTATAGGGATAAGAGCACATTATTATCCCAGTTTTGTAAAAGAAAAGGGAGAGAACACAAAACAGAAACAAGTTCACATGAGGCGTGAATAAAGTCAAAGAGAGTTTTGTTACTATAGCGTGTTATGTCTGGAAGCAGCAACAGGGTTGTTGTCAATTAATTGTCTTAAGGATGACAGAAAGAGGGCCGTATTTGTGTTAGGAAAAGGAAAAACTAAGTTTTGACGACTTAGAATTGAGGCTTATGTCACGTGTGCGAAGATGGGGTGACGTATTGACACGGTCACACATGCAAGTGACACTCCAACCTGGCCATCACTCTGTTCTTGCTCCTCTGTGCTGTGTGCATGACACAGTACTCTTCTCATCCAGTAAATAAAATTGCTATTGAATGGTGTTAAAGAGCCCCTGCAACCCCTGCTCTTTCCACTCCTCTTACCCCTTGCCAGTGGCTACTTTTGAGGAGGTTTGAAACTTGCGGTCAAAAATTACAGAGAAGGATTTGAATGTCCCGTTTCAAACCACAGGAAAGTGAGCTTTCAAAAAGACTGAACAAAACATTTTTTTAAAAAAGCAGTAACTGACAATGCTAAAAGGAATTAATTTTCAGTCCCCTTCTTAAAATGTAGACAATCACTGTCATTTTAATAAATACTACACTTTATTTCAAAACATACTGAAGCATGGAGCCTAAACCATCAGGCCAAACCCTGTTTCTATTGAAGTTTAGTCATTTTAGCACTGATCTTAATTGTAAGTTTTTGACCCAGCACTGCAGTTTGTTCAGGTCATGGGTAAAAACTAGCATCTTGGAACTAAAGATAGAACCTGTGAAACAGAAAAAAAGGTACGTTGTTTGTGATAAACCAGTTGATGTTGCAAGCAAATAAAAGCCATCTACTCATCTGAGAGTAGTCTGAAATATGTCACGTTAGGTAAAGGACTCTCTTTATATGTGATCATTTTATGCTGTTTCTGTTCTTGTTATTTACTTTGTCTTTCAGATCTCTAATGCTGACTGAAAGAGAATCTCTTTGCTCTCCTTAAATCAATAGAATTCTTTAAAAAATAAACTTGGAAGTAAGCAAGGCCTATGTGTAACTAGGGCAGATTTCAGAATTTTTCCAGTGTTTATTTTGTTGGATAGCATGAGCTTCTCAGCATTTACTCCCTGGAGGAGGTGGAAATCAAATTCCAGCTTTTCCTCAGTCAGGTCACGGACTTGAGGTGGCTGTGATTACCTAGCCTGTTCTAGGTAAATGCCTTAACTGGAGAGCTATTGGGCAGGAGCTTTGGATTTTTTTCCTTTTGTGCTTTACTTTAAAGAGCTCAAAAATGTGCCTATCTAGAAATGAAGCAGAGGTTATAGTTTGTGATGGATTTACGCTGGGACTGATCAGGTGCAGCAGTTTACACTATGGGGGATAACAAATAGGAGCCTCAGTTTGAAGCAGCTAAGACAGCGTGGATATACCTGTGGCTTCACTGTAGTGAGGAATGGGAAAGTTTGCGGGAACAGGAAAACCTTCTCCTATTGCACTTTGTATGGAGCAGTCCGGGAACAAGTTCTAATCACGGTTAATGGGACAGGGAGGAGAAGGGACTGTGCATTGTCCACCACAGCACCCACCTAATGGAAATATTAGACTATGTATTGTTTTGTTTTAGTAGGGTTTGGGAGTCGCTTTCTTATCTCGTGCCACTCTTTCTCTCCCTGCTCGTTTCTGAAAGTTCTTACAAGCTTGGCTGTGAGTAGGGGGAAGTGGAACCTCAGGTTTTAGAGAACTGAGCAATAACAAACTGAGCCCAAAAGGGCAGAAATTAGACAATGTGAAGTGAGAGATGGAAGCTGAACCACTGCTGACGTTTTCATTAACTGTTGTTCTCTCTTTTGGGGACAGCCTGTTTTCCAAAAGGAGCAGCAAGCTTCATTTTTTTCTAAGACCTTGCAGGTTCATTCCCATCATTCTATCAAGCAGAGTTTATGTATTTTACCTTTTTTTCTATTTTTTTAATATTTGTCCTTGTTTTGTTTGGTTTTAGCAAAATGATACAGATTTTATTTGTATTCACATAATATTTCATTCAGTATAGTTCATTTACCAGAAGTAGTTGAGCACACGACAAGTACAATTTTTCTTACTATGCTCCTATATATTAATTCCTAATATAACTGTGCTGATTTTGGTTAGAGTTGAGCCAATCTGTTTGTAAATCAATGAAGCTGCATGCTGCAATGTTGGTTCCAGACCTGATCCTGGGTTAAAATTAACTTGTGTGGTTTTTACCTGTTAGAATGATTCCATAGTGGTACCTTTCAGTCATGATGAAGACAGGCGTAGCCATGCTAGGTGGGCAGCTGTAGGTATACTAAAACCTTTAGAGGGTAATTCTGTCTTCATAGTAGCCACTGGAAGTGTGGTTGTGAGTCAGGTAGGTTTGAGAGTGTGGGAGTTTTGATTTCAGACAATGACTCCCGGAAAGGATAACAGCAAATTTCTACAAAAGGTTCCTGGACTTAAATTTTGTGTCTCATAATATTATGAATATTCTCACTTTTCTTCCAGAATGTAGGTTCTGTCCGCATATGAAAACATTACAGTATTTTTTTTTAACTTACTTCTTAAACAGTAATAATGAACTTATCTAGTAGGTGACATGTTTTTGTCGATCCTTTTGCTAATAAGAAAGTTTTAAATTATAGGCTGGTGTCAGAGAAAGAGAAGAAAGGTAGGATTGCTGCCAAAGTCATCCTCAACTTTCAGAGCCTGAAGAAATAACTATTCTGTTTATTGCTAGGTCTTCCCTCTCTAATTGTAAACTGTAAAAACTTTTCTCATCTTTAACTTGCTTGGAGAAACTCCCTTGCAAAACTCGTAAAAGTGTATAAACATGTAGGGTGCTTTTCATTTTTGTGTCAATCAGCTGACCCAACTATTTGTTCACTTCTGCTGTTTTCCCATTAAGCAGCTTCTCTCCAGGCAGGCTTTTAGGAGTTGTTTTGTCCTGATAAACAGTGTGTACATCTCTTGCCTGGCCTCCATCCCTTGCAGTATTGCCTTTTACACCACACTTAGTGAGTGCTAACAGCCTGGCCTGTGCTTGCTTGACAAGTAAATCACTGGGTGCTGGTTTGCTAGTCCAGCAACTTGCACAAAAAGATAAAATGGGTATTTCGTGGACTAAGTGGGTGTGTGGGACTTGGCCGTTAGGATCAGAAAGTGCAGTTACTTTGAAGAGACTTAGCTGAAAAGTAAAATCACTGAGCAGAATTGGTTCTGTTCTGGCTCAAACCAAGACACCTGGTCTTTCTTCTCCTCAGTAGTGGAGTCCTGTCTGCTCTGGGGGAGCTGGTACCTTTCAAGTGGTTTGGAAATGGTGACGTTTGGGGAGACCGTGTTAAGAGCTATGAAGTGAGAGCTTGGCCTAAAAGCGGGGGCAAGAGCTTGGTAGTAAGCTTCAGGCCACCTGGGCAAGGGTGTTTACGGGCATTTTTCAGCCGCTATTGTGTCTATAGACATAAAGGGTGAATGGGGAACATGGGAACTTACAGCTCTGTGGTTTCAGCGGTAGCTGCTGAATGATCAGCGTTTTGGAAATTTGGGGTGCTCTCGTGAGTTAGATGTCTGCCCACAAACTTAGAAGTCTGCTTCTCCCAACCCCCATCTTATTATCAGCATAAAAAAATCAGCTTCTAGCTCACAGAATTTTAGCTTTGAACAAGAAGCTGAAAGAAGCTAACATTTTGCATGGAAGTTAAAATGCCACAAAGAAGGCAAAGGTTTGGTTTATGGAGGGCAGCGAGATAAATGCCAGGTTTACTGGCTTAGGAAACTGCAAAAGCTGAGGGGGAGCTTTAGTGATGGCAGTCCCCACTTGGTCATGTGTAAATGACTCTTGAGTTACATGGGCAAGAGAAGGGAACGTGCCACTACTCAGGTGCCAGTGACCCAGCGCACGTTACCCGAAGACAGACTCACATCTTGGTGCATGCTTGCTCTTTGTGTGGTTCCTCCTCCTTTCCCGCCTCATAGGCCACCCTTGCTCCATCTCCGCTGACTCTGTACCCGGTTCTGTGCCAATCCCTGGCATCTGAAACCTGGAGCTAAGAAACAGAAGCAATAAAAGAAGACCTAGCATGAGCTTAGCAGTGCACCAGATCGTAGGAATATCAGCTGTAATTACATTTTCATCATTAGAAAACTTAGCATTTGGTAAGGATGCTCAAGGGATTTCCTTACCTGCTGTGCAGTATTTCCACATTGTTTTTATTTCACAACATGAATAAAAGCCTGCGAGTAACTGTTTATCACTTTCTGCAGATTGGAAGAGGATCTCGGTCTCTCAACCAGCCTACAGTGTATTTATACTAACTGTGTTAAAACTTGGTTGGTACCACCATTTTCCCCCCACTATTTTTAGGTCTCAACAGCTATTTATCTAACCTGTTCTGAGACTATATGCAAATGTCTGGAAAGTCCCAGTCATTTGTACAGTCTAGTGAGGAGAATGAGAAGTATCTAAACAATCAAACTGAAAGTCACCCTCCCTAGCTTGTGTTCAGTAACAAAAAAAAAAAAAAAAAAAAAGCCATCCCTTTCTGATCCCTACTCCACCCCCCTCAATACCCCCCCAAATTGCTTGGAAAAACAGGACAGCAATGAAAGTCAAATTAGAATGGAAACTGCCACCTGCTGTAAAGGTTGACCTAGGAAGAATCTGATTGCACTTCATCTGGCAGAGCAAAACTGTCAATAAAATATGAAGTGAAAGCTTATCTAACGCCACAGTCATCACGCTAGTATTTGATAGACCATACCTTGTCCACGGTGTGCTTACACATGGTGCGTAATGAAGTCGTAACTGCTGCTCACGGTAAGGTCAGAGAATTCAGGGAGGGGTGATAGAAACTTGCATTTCCGTCCCCAGATCCACACCCTGCTCATCTGGCTTGCTGGGAAACCTGTGCTCTTCAGTAAGCACAGAGCAAGGCCTTTCGAACTAACAGTTCTGCTGTCAGTCCCAGCCTGACCTGGTCTGCTCCGACTGAGTTCTGCTTATTTTATACCACCAAGGAACCCAAGAATACAGTCACTGAACAACTAAGTAGATGAACAATATTTGTTACAGCAGTTACTGGATCTCTGTTATCTGTAGGACGGGTCCTCACATTCCTCTGTGACAGCAGCACACCGGCTGCATGAAGGAGCTGAAGGATGCTCAGGCTTTCACTGGTGCCCATAACTAAATTATAAAGCACAAAAATCAGCGTCGTCCTAAAGCTAGGCAAAATGAATAATGCAGAATCCAGACAACTCTAAAGCCATGTGTTTGCTCTGGGATGTGTACCTGTCTTGGGAGAGGGCACTCCTGTCTTACTCATTGCACAAAATTCTGCCTGCAAGAAGGTGGTGCCTAGAGGTGGTTCTGCAGTGCGGTGTCGCTGGTCCTGCTGGTTAGTAATTCAGCACTTCAGGTTGTCTAAAAATAACCTTCTGTCACAGTCATTTAGTCAGTAGCAATTCTATCTGCCTGCTGGGAAACATCTTTTTAACTCAATCTTAGCTTAATTGGGGATTTGCAAGGTAGATGATAACTTTAAATCAGGTCAATTACTCCAAAGCCACTTAATGTAGGGACATGATCACAGAAAACATGCAATGTTAGTTTCATCTCATTGCAAACCATTAGCCACAGTGTTGATTGCTTTTCTCCTTCATCACTCCAAGTGAGGAGGAACTTACTTCAGACCTGCGTCGACACAAGACCAGAGCTGCCAAAATAAAAACAAATTCATTTTACTTTAGAATATTTATGTCCTTTCTTTTCCCTCAATGAATCCTATGCAGAAAATAATGAGTACATGAAAGAAAAAATATTTCATTTCTCTGAAAACAGAAACTGAAAAGGAATTTGCCTTACGTGGTGAGAGAGGATCGGGAACAAGCCAGGCAGGGCTAAAGGAATTGGGTTTGCTTTTCATGCACTTTGCCGCGTGAGCAGTGCTGCCAAACCTGGCTTGCCTCTCCTGGGCCTGTGTCTGCGCCCAGGGCTTTCCAGAGAGGCTCTTGCTGCCTTGGCTGCTCTCTGTAGAAGAGCTGCAGCACTCTGACCCTTCTTCAGGAACAAAACTTGACCAGGACACAATCTGAAGTCCTTCTGTCCTAGCCCCTTAGCAACTTCTCTCCTGCAGTCTTTGTATTGACCAGATTATTTCTCTCACCATTGAGCTGCTAAAAGTGTTTTGCATGAGGGGGATCTTTGGTACCAATGTTGCTCTTTGGAGAAGGTCAACACGCAGCCCTTCTCACTCGACATGTTGGGATGCAGGTTGTGAGAGCCCTCGAGTCCAGCACCTGCTCGGCTCGGTGTAGGCACGAACAGCAGCACGTTCTCACCAGCATGGCTTACGTTAGCTCTGTGAAAAGCTGCTTCCCCAGTAGCTGCAAGCAGCTTCCGCGTGTACCCTGCGCTCCGAGTAGGAAAACTTTTTGTTTAGCTTCAGTGAATAATGAATGGCGTAAGCAGAGGCGTATCTCTGCTTACAAGGCTGTCATAACCAACCCAGTCTAATAAATATTACTGGTTTTCTCTCTTTCTTACACACAGCTGTCTCTGGACCTCTATCACACTGAAGACGATATCTACAAGCTCTCACTGGTGCTGGAACCGAGGAACTCCAAATCTGTAGGTCATTTCTTATGGCATTTTCACATATTGCTTCTGTTGTCTGCATGCAATTGATAAAATTTAAAAATGACAGTTAATGAATTTCATTATTCCTATTCACTTAAAGCCTTTTAGTGTGTATGCTTGTAAAACACAGTCACTATTTATAGGGTTTAGTGCATATTGGGAGAAGTAAATATTGATACATACCAGACTTAATGATCAACTATTTTTCAACAAAACCTCTGCAAGTCATGGAAAATATAGTTCTGCTTTATGTGAAGATATCCTTTGTAAGTTTACATCAATTATTTACTATGTGACTATTACTTCATTTTCTGGATGCTGGTACAGTTATATAAAACAATACTGAGTCCAAGAGTTGTTTTACATAAGCCTCAGCATTAGCTATACTGTTTTAAAATCTGTTTGCTTGTGTAGAATTGGCTGTATCTTGGGCTCTCAACCAGTGTTTAAACATTTCAGAACAGATGTTACTTTTTTTAGTATGTGCAACTGAAGATAATGCTGCGTTGATGCATTTTTCATTATGCTTTGCAAGTCTGAGGATGCAGCTAAATCTCCTAAGTAAGAGTTGTATTTCATTTAAAGCATGACTCTCTCTGCTGTTGCCAAAGTTCGGGGACTCCTCTTCCCTCTGAGCATTTTATCCGTGCATTAATGTCCTTATTACCTGTCATATCCAGCATGTCATTTCCTCAGGCTGAGCCCTCTCAGGTCTGACACCGCCCAGAAACTAAGGGTGGCTGGAAGTGCTTGGCAGGGTGTGAGGGCTGAGTCCGGTAGTCTGGGGTGATTCATGACAGTACTCTTACGTGTTTGGAGTATTCTTAAAAGCAAGCAAGGAAGCAGAACCCCTTAATTTCCAAGCATAGTTTATCACTCTTGAGGACTGTGTGCATGTGCTTTCAGTGGTGGATGATGAGCAATAGTGAGGAAGCTATTGAGTATTTCCATAGTCAACACTAATTCCATTTGAACACCTGGAATTTCATCAGAGTCTCGCATCCTTGTCAGATATGATTTGACCACAACAGTTCCCGTTTATCATAGTCATCCTGGCTCCCTCTTGCTCCCGTTACTGCCCGCAGGGCCGATTTGTTACAGCTGTACACTGTGGAAGGGCTCATGGGCTGCTAGTGTAAATGAGGAACATTATCCCGTTGCCGCTTTGATCTCCATCCCGAGCTTTAAGAAGGACAAAAGTGATATAAACAGTGCTGTGAACTTTAACACGACCCTGCCGTTGTAGGGGACTTCTGCATAATGATCAGTGACTAACCAGTGACGTTGAGCTGTAGCAGCACCCTGATGGGTAGAAAGCTACCACTGAATCGACAGAAGCTGGACCATTTGAGGCAGGCTTCTCTTTGAGGGAGTGCCAAAGCACACAAGATATTTTAGAGGGGAAAGAATCTGTAGAGCTTTTATATGTGGAAAAATCTGTCAAAGGCAATGTGACAGTGTAGTTGTATCATTCCAACTGCTCCTTGATTTATTGTTGTATGGGTACGACTCCTGTGCAGGTGCACTGTGGAGGAAATGCCTCAGGCTGCTGCAGTCGGTTTTGGGGCACAAGTGGAGCTGTTGCATTAGATTATGAGCCTGCTGTCAACGGGGCTTGAGCAAGACGTTCATTCTGCTAAAGCTGGGAGGAGACTCTTCAGCCAGTGTAGCAGCCTAGAAAACCCGTGGAGACCGACCCCAAGTTGTAGCATGGCATCTCCCTGTCATACTGCCCTGCTTTTCCCTGCACATTAGTTATCTTCTTGTTGGGAGTTTTTACCAGTGCAGCTATTGGCCAGAAGACAGCTGTCTGGTGCAGTTATGCCACTGAAGACACACTTACATAAATTTTTTGATTTTGAGTAGAATTTATTTCAACACCAAAATATGCAGATGTTTGCATTCATCTGAAAATGCTTTTTCAGTCTACGGTACCATTATCCCTGTGCTGGTGAAACAGGCAGGAGATACGGGCTGAATCACAAACAGCGTGACCAGATACAGTGAACAAACCATAGAACCAGCTAGGTAGTCTCTGGACCTTTCCTCATAGTATGCATTTCAAATACATAAATAAAATTGTGGTTGTTCTTACGAGTCTATGAGTGAAATAGGAGGAACCAACATTCCCTTTGGCTAGTGGGCAGGAACATGAAGTTTGCGTTGCAACTTATCAAAAAAACGCATAAAAATCGAATGAGGCTTCAAATGAATAACCTAGACGAAAGAGGAAGGCTCCAGTGGATTCTGTCTCTTTCTGCCATTTTGCTCTCAGACCAGCAGGAGCTCTCTGTGAGAAGTTGATAGTCTAGCACCACTCTGACACTTTGATACTGACACTTTGAGACCCTTTAGTCTAAGATAGTTTTTATCATATTTTTATTTTGTTATCATGTAACATGTCCTCTTTAAAAGATTGCTGCATTTCTGCATATTTTCATAGCAAAAGTGCTTGCCAGCATGTTGATCCATCACTGTGTGGTGGTTAGGAGTAAAACATTGTGTAAGTGCTTTTGGCATATAGAGCTGGATGTCCAGGTTCACTGTATTTCCTATTGGAAATGAATTCTGTGGATATAGGTGGTTTTTTCTTAAACTTGTGATCATGTTTCATCTCAGTGTCGAAGTCTACAATACCTTTGCTATGCACAATAATACCTGTAACATTTTTAGATGACTTAACGATCTCCCTCTCAACTCACACCAGTTCAGGGGGAGACAGATGAGACGCAGATTTCTTGCTCATCAGCTAATACCGGGGCCTTCTGAGGCTGTGGGACGTTTCCCTTCTAATCTAAACCATACTGAAATTTTTCTGTTTGACACCGCTTCACCTGCCAGCTGTCCAGCAGCAGATGCAGGAGAAGGCCAGTATGCCCTGCAGCATTTTTCATGCTGCCTGGTGGTTTTTGAAGCCTTACCTGAAACTGTGTTCAGGTTTGTCCTATATTTTCTACTTGAACAAGCCAAGATGCATGCCCGAGCTTCTCCTAAAGACCTGTGGTGGCGTGGAGGGAGCTGGGCTGCGTGCTCTGCGCATCAAGTGAGCTGTCAGCTACCGTTTTGTCAGGACCAAGCTGTTTTCAGAATAAAATAGTCTGGCTGGTGTTATGTGGAGAGCAAGCCAAAGGTTAGCTGCTTTCTGCTCAGGCTGCTTAGATGGATTAATCTGTGCCTCCTGGCACACCTCGGCTGGAAACCGGTGGGGTGGCTGAGCACGGTTCTGCCCCAGCTTCTGCATCCTGCTCCCTTCTCGGTGCTGCACCGAGCAGGAGCATTAACTTATTCAAGCTCCTGCGGTCCCTCCATGGCTGCTGGGCATGGGTCCCTCTGTCAGGGAGCTGGGGCCAGGCTGTGTTGGGGTGGAGAGCTCCTCGGGGGGCTTTACCAGGAAGGGCAAAAAGAGATTTCTGGGCTTACCTGTTTCTGATGCCCGCTGTGTCTAGAGAGCATCCTTCCTTCCCTCTTCCTCTGAGTCCCGTGGCTGTTGAACCCCCCGGAGACAGCAGTGGAGAAAGTCTGCCTGGTTTTGCTGCGCTGCCGCTGCTGGCGTCGCTGTGAGGTGCCAGGGAGAGCCCAACTGAAGCTGTTAGCAGAGGGAGCAGCCCTTGAAAACCTTGCCTGATGTTTTGCTAAGCACATTTTATAGCACAGGAACTCCAACAGTTTGTGGTTGTAGCTCTGACAGATAGTGCTGCTTTTAGCAGGAAATTCAACTTCATAATTCAGATTTTAAAATCTTTGTGTTCTGATCCATCACTCAGCAGCCTACCTCCCCGACGACCCCCAACAAGCCAGTAGTGCCACTGGAGTGGGCATCTGGAGTGGTACCAAAACCCGACCCTACCGTCATTAACAAGCACATACGAAAGCTGGTGGATGTAAGTATTTGGAAGAATATACTGGTCAAAGAGAATGATAGCTTTGATATTGTCATCATTATAACTCATTTCAAGCTTTTCAATAGATTGTTAGGGTTGGGATGAATTTCAGACGTCCAATAACAAATTTGAGCCTTTACTGATACTTTCAGAAATATTTTATTCCTGAAGTCAGTGATGGGATTAGTAAGCAGGTTTCTTGACACAAAGGAGCAAACTTTCAGAGGCATCCAAAGCCTGGCTGCTGTTTGATAGGTTTGATCAGCAAATACAAATTGAGAGGGCAAAGTTGAGTTTTTGCAGCTCTAGTCGCCCGGTTTATGTCTGGTAACAGACAGCTGGCCACAAAAGTCCTCAGAAACAACAACTCTCGCATTACTAGGACCAGAGAAGGTTTCTGGAAACCACACTTCTGGTTTTCCACTTGCTGCCGTTTGACTGTCCAGAGCATACCACGCATGCTGAAGAGAGCACTGTCTCGGTATCGCTTAAAATCTGGGCAGGAGGTCGTGGAGAATTATAGCTGGGATCTTCCAGCTTCCGTTCGGAAGGTGGTGTGTTAGGTAATGCGAACAACACCGAGCACTGCCAGGTTCCTTTGGAGAGAATGAGCTCTGTTGTGTTGGTGTATAAGGGGCTTCTAGTGGTGTCAGCAGCATGCAGGGGAACCAGGAATGTGTTGTAGATAATGAAGCAAGATTTCCTTCTGCTTTTTACAAATTAATAACTAAGTCTTGGAGGACTGTTAAATTCTGACCTTGTCTCTGTTACAGGTCATTAATTTGGGTTGTGTTGTTAAGATAATTTAAAGCCTTCAGTTCTGTCACTCAAACTTCAAATACATCTTGTGGTTTACTTTTTGTGCATGTTCTTTTTTTAAAAAAGTTTCATTTTTCTCTTCATGTGGGATGCTAGAACTGCACATGCCATTCCTGTATTGCTTTTGTCAGTGCCATATGCGTTGATAAAAATCACTCCACATCCAAACCTCTCTTTGATAGCTTGTTTAAGCAGGAAGTCTGTTGCAGCTCCTTAATCTTTCCAGAATGTGCTGGGTGGGGGGTTGTTCTTGTTCCTGCGGGTGGGGGAGATGCAGTCCCCCATTCCACAATTTGGGTCTGGTTCAGGACGTATGATCTTGAGTTTGACAGGATTAAAACTGGGTTTGGGGCTGTTATGGATACAGCTTACCAAGAGGCCCACACCACTCTGTACAGCTGTCTTCGATCTGCCAGTCTTTGTCATTTACCAGCTCCTTTGAGTTGTGCTTTAAGACAGTGTTTTTATTACTAGAAGTGTTGAATACTACTTGGGTTTGGGTATTGGTTCCTTCCTGATGATGTATTTTTGAGGTCTGCTAGTCATCGATTACAGGTCATTTGATAGGTGCTTAGAAATTGGCTTCATCATGTTCTTGTTAAAATAAGGGCAATGCAGGTACCTTGCAGAGGTCTCAGTATATTAAATTCTTGATTTGTCAACCATATCATAACCTAATGAGAGAGTTTGTGCTGCAATGTTTGTCTTTCAGGTAGTCGTGTTGACTTTGACACTTGTGTTTTTCCCATCAGCATCACACGTAGCTTTAACGCCCCTTGCGCATCTCTGCAGTCCGTAAGACAGAACATGGTAGTTCCCTGCCAGCTGAGGAGGGCTTCCATCGCTTTATGCGGCCTTTTACACTTGATCCCATGTCCGTTTTCACTTAGTGGTGCGCTGGGCTGGGTTGATGGGAGAGAACAGTTGTTAGATACAGAGTGCTCGTGATCTGGATGTCAAAGTATTAGTAAACAAATCAGATTGAAACAGTGATGTGGCAGAGCAGAGAAGTGAAGCCAAAACCATCTGGAATACAGATGGGAAAGCTGCTCTTGGGTTGGTTTTATTTCTTTTTTGTGATTAAAAAGCATACTCAATGAAGCAAACGGAATATGTCACATGGGGCAAAATTTTAGTGACATTTCCAATAAAGAAGAAAAATAAAGCAAGAATCATTATGTCTGAAGAGGTGCGGAGTACCATCACTAGATAAATACCGAGGTCGAGTTTTCCTTAAAAACTAGCCATTTTTTCCCCTACAGTCCAATAAATATGCATATTGGAGTACCAAGTAGGAATAAAAGGAATAAAACAAGGCTGATTAGTGATGTTGAACATTGAGTTACATGTAATTATAAGGTTGAAGAGCTGGTATAGATTCAGGATAGGGTAGGTATTAGGACAATAATTTCTTTTTTTTTTCCCAGTCTGTCTTTAGGAACTACGATCATGACCACGATGGCTACATTTCTCAGGAAGACTTTGAGAGTATAGCTGCCAACTTCCCCTTTTTGGACTCTTTCTGTGTGCTGGACAAAGACCAGTAAGTTTAGAGGTTTCTTTGTGGGTTTTTTTTTTCTTTTCCTCAATTTAGAAACTCATTAAAACCAAATATTGAAGTAAGAGTGTCTCCTAAGCTTCTTGTGTCTGATATCTCCCTTAAGGAACTGAAGATCACTGAAGGCTGAATTCTGTGCTCATTGAACTTCTTATGCTGTAGTCAGTTCTATAAGCCCACCTGGGCTGGAGTGCTGCTCTACCTGGTACTTTAAAAATCATTTATGTGATAGGGTAATGAGGCACTCCTGCTGGGCCTGAGTCAAAACCCCTGGAGCGCCATCAAATTACAGTGGAGACGCTGTATCCAGACCAGGCGTCAGACTGATGAAACAGATACGTTGCCTACAGGACAGGGGCAATGAGTGTGTGGAGCAGAGAGGCGGTACCAAGTATCCCAGGAGGTATATATTACACATTTCCTAGCCAGCTGGGCTTGGTAATGCTTGTTGTCCAGAATCTCTTCGGCTGGCAAGCCTGACTGCCAGCCAGGGCCGTAACCCCTTGGTTGGAATGAGCAGTAGGTCAAGATCCTTCACTTCATGGCCTGGTCTGTGCTCTGATACCATGAACAGGTGAGAAACCAAGGCCCATGCTATAAGTTCAGGGTTTGCTCTTTAATGAAGAATAAGAACCACAAAGTCTCTAAGGTTTTTTTTTGTGCCAGGACTATTTCAGCTCTTTCAAAGAATGTGCTTTGTGTGCTGCGTGCTTTTTGTAATGAGAAAATCCGGAATTGTTCGGTGCCGTGAGCAGTGACAGATCCCCTCTGCTGGTTTTCCCCTACAGAGATGGTCTTATAAGCAAAGAAGAAATGATGGCTTACTTTCTGAGAGCTAAATCACAGTTCCAGTGTAAAATGGGACCGGGGTTTATTCATAACTTTCAGGAGATGACCTATCTTAAACCAACTTTCTGTGAGCACTGTGCAGGATTTGTAAGTATGTTTTTAATACTGGTATCTCTTAAACACAAATTTGTACCTTTTAACATAGATGGGGTGAAACTGGCTCCACAGATTGCTGAAGTCTCTTGGCGCAATACCTCATTGCAGTCAAAAGCATGAAACATTTACTCGTGTTGTAGCTGTGCTGTCCGGTTTTGTTTGGTGGTTCCTGAATACTGGCATTTCTAAGAATTAGTGTTGCAGGGGGAAAAAAAATAAAATTATGTTAGCTAAAGGATATTAGAGACTACATGAATGGCTTTACTTGGTTTATCTTAAGTTCTTTAATTTGGCTTGATTTCCCATGTAAACAAGCTCAAGGGAAAATGGGTGTCTGGAACAGAGGATGTAAATGAAGCAAAAGCCGTTCTTTCTCAGGAAATTGCACATGGCAACATAGCTATGTTCATAATTCTCTGAATTGCCATAACAGCCTTAATCCTTTCTCTATTGAATTAACAGATCGGCTAATTTGGTCAAGAAATCTAAGTGCTTCCAGCAGTTCTGTACAATAACAATTTTTTCATCTATTTGTTGGGGGTTTTTATTTGCTTTTTCTCTCAGCCATAACTCACCAGATGCCACTTACTAGAATGCTCTGTACATAGCTGGGAAATGATTGGGTTTTTGAACCTTTGTGTTGCTTGTAAACCTCCTCCAACTTTTCCACTTCAAACCAAGTATAGTAAAGAAAAAGGAATTACTGTGATTTAAAAGTTATTTTAGTGCACACACTCCACTGAAATCAAATGTCCCCATTTAGACAGCTAGAGCAGTAAGGGCAGAGGGCCATGTCCTCTGCTTACGTGTGGCCCACATACAGGGTGTAAACTCAGACCATTGTCCCTGCTCTCCAGCACAGATCCGCAGTAGGTGGCAACATCTCCAGCTTGTGTTACGTGATTTTCCACTACGTAATATCCCTTTGTGGTCGAAAGTAACAACAGCAGCACTTCTAAGTGCAAAACCGTGCCCCTTTCAGACCAGCTCCGGTGTCCCTGCTCTTACCCCGGCGCCCGTCTTCCACTCACGTGTTCTGCAATGTGTTGGTCTCGTTCAGATGCTTGTGGTCCCCATCGCAACCGCTGATGAAATCCATGGGGAAGAAGGAATTCGGCCTATTTCCGCCAGAACTGCAAAAACCTCTGAGGCGCCATGGTCCATGCTGATTCAGGAGTGTGCGGGGGGGCTCTTGAGCTGACAGCTCCGTCCAACTGATGGGGCAGGGGCAGTCACTGGCCCCAGCCTGTTTCAGGCTGCCTGCAGCCTCGGGAGGACGTCACTGCGTCCGTGACACTCGGGCTGTGTTTGGAAGGCTTCCATAGCAGAGCAAGGCCTGAGGACTGCCCTGCGGTGTCCTCTCCACCAGATAGTTTTCTCCTCCATCAGTTTGCTAATTGGCCATTGTTGGATCTTTCACGTCTCCCTGATTACATCCAGTGCAGGAATACAAATGAGTAAGAGGTTGTACAGGAAATGGAAATAAGGTCATTTTTCCTGTCAGCTCACTGAAGGCATTGGCATTGTCCTGTGGATGAGTTGGGCTGATAGGACAGGAACCAACTAGAAAATCTGCTGCGTATTTGTTCTGCATTTCAGTGCTGCTCATTCACGGGTGGAAACCTAATTTCAGACTGATACCCTGATTCACAGTCAAAATAATGTGCCCTGACAGTGCAGCGGGATGAATTGACATGACAGTGCAATGCACGCGGTATTCAGTAACATATCTGTTATTAAACCGATACGAGCTTTAAAGGTCAAGCTAAAACCTAGTGCCATTAAGCAGCAAGAAATTATATGCCCATGGCTGGCCGCAGTTCTGTCCCACAGCTTGAGTTGCAGCACATGGCGAGGTGGGGGACCAGCCATCCCGCTGAGCTTCATAATCTCGGTTTGCACAGATCCCCTTGCCTTGGCGCTGGCTCAAGCCAGCTTTGCAGCAGAGCTGTGTCAGACAGATTCAAAGCTTTAGGTCAGAATTCATGACATGGCACTTCAGCTACGCTTTCACTGCTGTGTGTGACCACGCAGCGGTGCCAAATTTGAGTAGGTGGCAGGTACAGAGCCAAGAAGGTGAGGGTAAAGCTCTGCAGTGGGAACAGATTAGAGCTTAAATGGAAGAAATAACAATCCATGTCTCTTACAGTGATCCTGGCAAAGAAACCTGGGGAAAAAAGTCATTGCTGCTCTTCCAAGAGGGGCTGGGGCCCTCCGCTGTCCCTGCCTGACCGCAGCCACTGTATATGTACAGCATTAGCAGGAAGAGAACAAGCAGCAGGCTTTCTGTGGACCCTTCCTCCACTGTTGTCCCTTCTGTTCTCTTAGTCACCGTTCTTCCGCTTTGTCTGATCTATTTTGCTTTCTCCAAGCCCTCATTTTTCCTGGCAAATTCTATGTGCAGTGTATGGAATATTTTCCCCCAGAATCTTCCTATTCTGATTATTTTACTCTTTCCTTTGTACTCTCAATGCCCTCCAGCTCTTCCTTTTGAACATTTCTTTAATGACCATATTCACCCCCTGCACACTGTGCATGGCTTCTCATAAATCTGGTGAGGAGCCACGTGCAGTTTCAACTGCCTGGATGTGCTCACCCTCCCTGGTAATGTTTCGAATGAGTTCAGGATAAATAAACACTGGCGTCCTAGATTATTTTTCCTTTAATGCTAGAGCTAGTAAGACTGGCTCCTCTTCTCTTTGCCTCTCAGAGTGAAAATGCTTGTTTTTATAATGCCATGGCTGTAGATACAGTGCTTCTGAGTCTATAGATAACAATTTTCTAGGGAATTTTCCTACTCCAAAGCAATTCTGCTTATGTTGCAGTGAAAGCTTCCCAAAAGTGGGGCCACACACACTGCCTCCTGGGCGTTTAGCATTTGTCTGTCATGTACGTCAACAAGGTCAGCTTCTGGGAGGCAAAAATCACATTTAGTGGCTTTTCTGCGTGTTTCAGTCTTCGACTTTTTTTTTTTTAATAGAAAAAGTCAGGTGGACAAATCAGAGTTGTTATAGCTAGGTATGCTGGCGACTAGTATGGGAACCAAGAACCCGATTTTTAATCTCCAGTGGTGGTGTCTTCTGCTGTATTTGAATGGCATGGTCATTCGTGTATCTGGAGAATGGATGTACGTTGGAAATGCTCCTGCAGACAACATTAAGTGAGCCTCGAAGCAGAATGTGCTCTGCTGGTATCAGAAGCTTGATATGATGGCAATTTTTCACACATTCCTGGAAGCAAATGTCATCTGTGTCTGTCCCACTGTAAGTAGTAGAAATAAGGGGAGAGCCACACATGTCTTACCCATCACAATTAGAGCGGGAGGTCTGCCTGACAGGAAGGGTGTTAAGAGCAGTTGTATCCTGTTTGTGCGTTTGTAGCCATTGGTACTTCCTCATTGTGACCTTGTTTTCCTTCCGGCTTTATTTTCTGATTCCTTGACGTTCTTTTGTCTTTCTTTGCAGCTCTGGGGTATAATCAAACAAGGCTACAAATGCAAAGGTAAATAAATATTGCATGGATTTTTTCAAGCTATAGGTGGCGGGTTTTAGCACATGTAGGTCAACTGTATTTTTTTACTAAAATGACATCTGTTTGTCCAAATTGTACTGCTACACTTGGTACTGTCCGTGAGCAGGGACTGCTGGTACGCTGTGAGGTCTTACTGCATCAGGGGACGTAGCACCCAGCAGGAACACACAGCTAAAAGTCAGCTAAAAGTCTAAAGCAGCCACTGACTACGTGAGGCGTCACTTTCTACCAGCAACGACCTTGCATCTTGGAACACCAAGTGTCCTCATCCTAACACTGAGCCGTCCTGAAATGTATCTCCTGCAGCTCGGGGTCAGGAAAAGGTCTGCTGGCAATGCTCTGCCATGCACATCCGCGTGCCTGTAGCAAAGCCTGACTGGCCTTGGGATGCAATAGTGGCTGAGCTAGAAATAGAGAAATATTTAGTTCCTACACTGCCCAGCAGATCTCATTGCAAGCTTTTCTCCAGACAGTCAACTTAAAAAAAAAAAAAAAATCCTGGAGCTCTTACAGCCCTCTCTGTTGCTTTCATAAACTGTTTTCATTTCTTGTGCAGTACTTGTGCCATGTGGAGCAGGTTAGACCAAGAATGACATTGTAGTGGTCCTCATTGGCTTTAAAGTCCTGGACCTATTTATCGCTCAAGCAGCCCAGCTCTGGCTGAACAGCGCTGTTGATTTTCACCGTTGTAGTTGCAGCTCAGTTATTCACGAGGGAACATTCACGCTGGGGCTTCATGGTTATATTTATATGCACTCTTTTCCCTTAATTTTACACTTGCTCCCAGGAGAAGGGTGAAGAAATTGCAGTATGGTTTTTAAGATACACCATATTCCTGTCTCCCTCTCCACCCATGAATATCTCTTCCTCAGAGAGGGGTGGGGAAAACGTCCATGGCTAAACCAACATATGTAATTCAGCTATTCCTGATTGCTGCCGTCTGAGCAGCTACGAAAGGGCTAGCTGCAGTCCATGCTTGTACCGGTGGGAGGAGGGAAGGAAGATAGGATTTTGTCACAGCAGCCCTGGAAATTCAACTTGAGATCTGAAAGCTGAGTTCTGCCCTGCATCATTGCTTGTAGCAGTGGCCTAGTGGGGAAAGAGCAAAAGTGGGTCTGTAGAGTCAAAATGATGGGCAATGGAGCATGAGAGTAAGGGAGCAGAGCTGCTCACTCACATCTTAAAGCGCTCGACAAGTGCAATGAGTGCCTGCCCTTTGTGGAGGGAGCTACCGCCTGCTCGGTACGCCAGCATCACTGGAGTGCTGCACCCGTTGTGGATGATTTCTGCCTTTAAGCACAGAGCTGCCATCTTCTGGTTTGACCCTCTGCCACTCTGCTAGCGGGGGCAGGGAGGGTGTTCATCTGTTCAGGGCTGCCGCTTACCCCAGCACTGTGGAAAATGAGCTAAAGCTAGACTGTGCGGTCTACAAGTGATGAAAGACGTTCTCCACTGCCAAGAAAGATCTTTACTGTATTGAGGGGGGGGGTGTGGTGTGTGTGTTAGCTTTAGGGTAGACAAAACCACAGCTGGGCAGGTACTTCTGTATTAGTCATACGAACATGGTGATGGGAGAAACCAGAACTCTCACCCTTCATGCTCGAGCTGCTGCCCTCAGCACAATAGTTCTGTTAGTAGAGAGTTATAAATACAACACTTTGGCAGTGGCTCACTTAGAACAAAATCTTAGAACAAAATCTTAAGTCGTGGAGCAGCAACACAGAAACAAGGGCAAGGGACACAGAGGAGAGAGAGACCCTGTGTTTGGGGCTTACATCCTCCAACTTTTGGCCCTTTCTTGCCAATAAGATCTGTACTGCAGTCACGCTTCAGATGATAGCTGTACCTACTGATGAGCGTGTCTGCTGTGATGGCTGCAGAGGCTACCCAGTTTCACCCAGGTGGATGGTACACATCCACAGAACTTACCCTGTGCTGAGTTGCTCGCTGAGCTCCTTCGACTAGATTTAACCTACAGTGGTCTACACGGACCACCAGCTGTCCTTCCAGCAGCTCAGAGTATGGAGGCCTCAGTGTCTTCTGACCAAGTGGTTTACTGTAATGGGCCCTACTGGGTCACATGAAAAAAAAACAAACCTTTTTTTTTTTGGAGACCCAAGCAGTGGAGCAGAAGCTTTATGCATGGCATACACAGCATCAGACCAGTAATTCCAGGTCTTTTCCGTGAGACTGATTTCTGATGAAAATATCATCTCCCTCTTCCCTTCTGCTGCCAGATTTTTATTAATGGCTGCCCTGGAAATGATCCATTTTTTGTAACGCCGGTCACACCAAATGCTCCACTTCTGTAACTCCCGTCACATCTTCTGCCAAAGTATTTGTTCCTTCAAAGTCCCTCCTGGTATCTGTCTGCTAATAGCCTTGAGGGATTACCAGATAGTTGTGGCTTTCCCTTTGGTGACTTGACGATGCCTTTCTTTACAGATTGCGGTGCCAACTGTCATAAGCAATGCAGAGACCTGCTCGTACTGGCATGCAGGAAATTTTCCAGAGGAACCTCAGTAGGCAGCAACCATGGCTCTCTGCCTAGCAGTCCGTCTCTGCCTCCAGGTGAGAGCACTTTTGCTCCTCTTTTAAACCATTTCTGGAATCCTCTCTAACGGCCAGTGTCCTTGCTGCCATTTTTAATTTTTCCTTTATATCAATGCACAGGACAGCACATGTACCGTCCTCTGCGCTGTGGCTTGCGTTCAGTCCCCAAATTACAACGTCCATTTCTGCAGGGATGGCCTTAGTCTCCTCCCTAAGGCTCCCTACCCCCTATACTGGCACCCCTGTCCCAGCTGAAAAGAAATAGAATTATAATTAGGGAGATTGTACTTCTCCTTACAAGCTACTTCAGGGCAGGGCTGGGAGACATAGGGCACAATTCCAGCTCTGCCTTATCCCCTGAGTGTGTGGACGGAGGGAGAAGGAAACGTGCGCACTCAAGGCCAGAGTCAGTTTCCAAGCAGCATATGGATATTGCTGATTATACCACTGCTGCTTATAGGGGGTTACCTCCCCGCCCCAGGCTTAACTTACCTTTTTGTGAAGATCTTGAAGGAGAATATTTAAAAAGAAACAATTCCCCTCTATCTTTCAGTCCAAGATGAAGTATTTGAATTTCCCAGTGTTGCTGCGGAACACCAGGACCTTGACGGCCGAGCTATCACCCTTGTCACTGGCTCTTCACGGAAAATTTCGGTGCGGCTGCAGAGGGCGACCACCAGCCAAGCAACACAGACAGAACCACTCTGGCATGAGCCAGGCTGGAATGATTCAGGTTCCCATACTTTCCCCAAAATGAAGTCCAAATTCCACGGCAAAGCTGGGAAGAACAAAGGCTTTGCAAAATGGGAGAACGAAAAGCCCAACATGCAGGCTGATATAGAGCTGGAAGCCGAGGCCCCACAACACATACAGGATCACAACGGAATAGAAACCCTCCTAGAAAGACAAGAATCTGAGGTGAGTTGCAAAAGCCAAGACAGTTTAAAATCTTTAGAGTCTCATAATGTTATTTTATGAACTTTTTCATTCAAATTTGTCATTGTTTCTTGCACAAGAGTTACTTTCAGCAGAATGTCCATAGATAGCTGCCTTCTGCCCTGGAGCGTGCGTTCGCTGTAACGCTCTGACTGGGGGTTTGGCTCTCGGTGTCGTATGCACTTTCAGGAGTCGGGCACTTCTCTTCCTGACAAGCATTAAAACGGCACGGTGGGTGTCTGACCAAACTCTGTGCTCTGGGCCCCTCGCAGTGCACGTTCCAGGCTCCCCATTAGATTCACCAGCATTGTGAGGAATACACGGGTCCAGGCGAGGGCAGGATATGGGTCTGATTTCTGTTGCTGTCACCCCTAAAGTTTGTACTTCCAGAGTCCCACGCTTTTACTGAGCGTCTTGGCCAGCATGTAAGTGCCTGTTTTCATTTGGTTACAGGATAGCTGATTGCTCACCCTGAAGCACAGAAAAACAGAGATGACAACCGTAACCCGGCAAGCATCGATGGGCTGTCACAGACCACATTTGGCCACGAGAGGTTTTCCTGTACCTCATACTTTTAAATCCAACCCATGCCCTGTTTTCTTAGCTGAAAGGTGTTATAAAGCACTATTTATTTTCTCATGAGTAAGCCACTTGGATGAACATTGCACAGATCCCCGCGCTCAGTGTTTTCTCTTGTATGACTTTTGTGGAAACTTCCTCTACATGCCAGGGAGGATATATTTGGCCTCTTTTAAATGTACTGCATCATTTCAGTGTGTCTGCCAGCAACAACAATGGTGAGGAGGGAAGCCAAGCATCTAAGTTTGTTCAATAACAGTCCTTTTCCAGAGGCTTGTCATGATCTTTTAAGGAAAGAAGTAGGTGTGTATGTTAATTAAATCTCACACAAAAACCTTTCACAAAGTCCTCGATGGTGAAATTCTTTGCACACCTGTGGTTTTGAATTTTGGCCGTGTTTACATTACTACAGTGAGCATATTGGTGTTCAGTGCAGGAATACCAGTTCCCAGACTGGGGAGCCTTCAAAGAGGCAGCACATGGCTGAGACTGAAGGAATTCTAAGACACTATGCGTTTGTCCGGATACACCACAACAGAGAGGTGTCATCTCTGCCCGCACTGATTATGGTAAAATTAGCATGTAATAAATACCCTTGTTTTAAGAGAGTGTGTGTGTGTGTGTGTATAGCTGTGCATGTGATAGGTTTTTGTCTGGTTAGTGACCCATACTCGTTAACACTAAATGTACTGAAGAGCAACCTCCCCATTAGCAGTTTGCTAAGGCAGGATCTAGCACCTGACAGGTTTGAAGTAGCATTTCTCAGAAGCATTAAGTTTCTTAAGGAGCACAGCCCTCATCTGGAAAAAGAGAGAACCAAACCAGCGCAAAGCTCAGACCTGACAGGTGCATTCCAAATTGCCATACATGTATTGTTCTTCTCACCCCATCTCCCCACAAAAACGTGTATACGGGGAGCACAGACTCTGACCCAAAGCAACCCAATTATACTGTTTCCTACAGAATTCAAGTTATTGCACCTTTCATCAAGTTCTAAGCCCTCAAGACCAGAGGATCATTTCATAGCCCTAACAAAACTGACAGCTGCACTCCTCTGCGGTAGCTTGACTGAAATCTGCACGGCAACGACATGATGCCTCCTCAGGTTTGCACCTTGAATCCTGCAGGGTTCCTTTGTTTCCCAACACAACTAGTAACAAAGGTAAATTTGGGGAGAGGAGGAAAAAAAAAAAAAGCTTTTACTGTTTTAAACTCAAGCAAAATAAGCACTGCAGAGAGCACCGATTTCCAAGCAAGGATGAGGGCCAGAAGCATCCTTCACTCTTACTGCTGCGGGTGAAGCAGCAGCATTAGCAAAAATAGGGTCTTTATTCCTGTCGTGGGCCAGGTGACAGGTCACCAGCAGCTGACTGCTGTGACAGCGCAGGGTTTGCACACAAGGACACCGGTGTGGTGGGGAATTTGGAGCCGTTTGGTTACGATCCGGGCTGCCGCTGGCTCTGCTGAGATAAGCCTTTTAACGCTTTACCAACGCAATCCTCACGTGCGACTTCATTCGTAACATCACGTAGGAGGTTTAACCAGCACTCGGTCTGTAAGTCCTCACTCAGCCCCTTCCTTGCAGGCTTCTAGAAGTTAGATGTGGCTCTTGCTCAGAAAGGTGCCTGCTTGCCCATTTCTGTCAGGCCCACATACCACACCCGCCTTCACTTATTGTTGGACAAGAACGTTTCTCATACGTAGTCTCACCTTCTCGCTTACCTCCTCCCCAAGATACCTCACAAGCTTCTTTTCCGAACTGTTTAAAAGGGCAGGTGCTCTATGTTCTTCAGAGGAAGGACATTTCAAGGACACGTTTTTTTCCCCACATACACTGTTACCAAGGCATAAACTCACATTTAAGCAAGAAAAGTAACGGCTTCTACAGAAGCAGCTCCCACTTTCTGGAGGGCTGTTCTGGTAGCAGTTAGCCTGCTGCAGTTTCAGCCTGCTGCAGAGATTCCATCCATAGCTCCCTCGCAAGCCTGGCAGCTCCGGTCGGTTGGGCGCTTACCTCAGCAGCAGCTGCAGGTCGAGCACAGACCGCAAACTCACAGCTTATCCTCCTAAGCAAAATCCTGCAGCAGCCAAGGAGAAGGACTCAAGCTGGGTGAAAATTTCAAGCACCTTTCCCTGCTGGAAACCCTCTACTTCAGGCACCTCCAGAAGGGGAACACAGAGTGTGCTGCTGGCAGTAAAGTGTTCATGGCCGTTGGAAAACTTGAGAAGAGACACGGGGTAGAAACACAGCTTTTTTTCCCACACACACCGCTGCCCCCCAGAAAGGAATACTCATCATAGACAATGTAATAATTAAAAAACCCAAACAAACCCAACAAACCATTGACAGGCTGTTTGCAGCACAACACTGATCTAGTTCCACAGCAGCAAGCACCTGAGTGGGCAGAGCTGACAGGGCACGAACCACCATTTTAAGCAGCTGGTATAAGGTGAGCTCTTTACCTTGGAGTAGGCCCAAAGACATTAAATTAAAAAATCCTTTTCTCTCCTTACTTCAAGTTGACATCTTTTTCTGAACGGAGGCAAGACTTTTCCTCACCTCACAAAAACCATTTTAATTCCCCAATCCAGCCAAAGCAACAAAGAATTTCTTGTTCACCTCCCCGACTTAACAAAAGGCAAACTGCATCAGCCATCAAAGCTCCTGGCGGAGCGATGGGCCTCTGCTGGTCTTGGGTGAAATCCTGCTCGCTGGAAGTAGAGCAATTCCAGGAGAGGGTACAGGAGGAAACGTGTCATAATGGCAAGAGTACTGGATTAATGAAGCAGCTAAAGTGAGATACAACCCCAAATGATGCTGAATACTTCCACCACATCCATTCTTCTCTGTCTCAGGATCTTTCAAGAAACTGGGGGGAGAATGAGGGGTTGTTTAAAAAAAAAAAAATAAATCCAAACAAACAAAACACACCACACAGTGGAAAGAAGGAAGATCATGTCAAACCTTACTTACAGCCTGGACTGCAAAAGCCAAAGAACACAAGCAACGAGAGTAGGTGAAAAATGCAAGTGCTTGGAGAGACCCTGTAAGAGATGATTTGGCCGCTTGAGCCAAACCCACTACGACTTTCCGTGCTTGTGCAAAACCTCTGCAAAGCCTCGTGTTGCACTAACAGAGCCTCAGCCTTGCTGTCAGCTTTATGGAGTAGCCCCGAGTGCTACGCAGGGAGTCAAGGGAACATCTGGCTCCCTCAGAGTGAAAAGCAAAACCAGGTTTGAACTGAAGCTCGCTCCTCTGCGCTACATCTCCTCAGAGTCTCGTCCTCCTCTGCCCCCTCCCTCCCCAAGTCTTACCCAGCTTTGGGGCTTTAAAAGAACAAACCCAGCTTTACAAAGAAACATCTTCCTAGACAAGCTACCTTCTCAGGGGCGCCTTCTTCAGGCAGGTGAATTCTGAGGGAGGGGAGGTGGGGGGGACAGTAACACGCTCGCTGACCAGAGCTGGTCCGAAGCATGGATTTTCTCCAGCTGGGAAAGGTGAGCTGTTTTCCTGACAAAAAGCTGGGCTGCAGAGCAAATTCAGGGGCAGCTGCTGCCTAAAATTTGACATTTTCCAAAGTGGAGTGGCCTGGCTGCTGTCACCTCTATGGGCTGTTGCTCAGGGGCTCCTTTAGGGAAGCCAAGGTGAAAGCTTGCCCTAACGCCGTCCCCAAGGTCTTCCTCACAGGGAGCCTGGCTGCTTCAGCTGAGACAGCCTGAGCAGCCACAGGAGGGTCCTCACAGCCTGGGATACAAGTCCCAGAAGCTTTAGGCGCCTGTATGGGAAATAGCTGCATCTGAAGGATCCTGGACACGGGTGGGAAAAAAAGGGGAAATAAAAAAAAAAAAAAGGAGAACAAATAACAGAGAGATGGGGAGTAAGCGTGGGAAGCAGCACATGAGGAGAGTTCTCCCTCTCTGTGCAGTACCAATAATGGAAGGGGATCCCAATGGAGACCGAGCAGAGGGGGAGGGAAGGAAGGAAGGAAGGAAGGAGGAAAGGAGATCTGAGTGCAGATTCCATGGAGGCACAAGAGGCAGGAGAAACAAGGGCTTGTTGTTTCATGGTCATCATAGCCAAAAACATCTAACCAAGGTTTGCTTCATTCAGCATCGGCCTGCTAACTGATGGGCCTCTGTACAGCACAAGAAATAGCTCCAAGTACTTCTCAGGAGAGTCCTGACAACAGAGTTGGCCCACCCAGGGACACTGGAGAAATAGATGGAACTTTGGAACAAGTGTTTGAATTATCAGCACTGATCGGAACGGGATTTTCAAAATAAGCACTGCAGCCAACAGGCTAAACTCACTGGAAAATCCGTGAGCTGAACTCTGAAGTGCTGTGTACAGCTGCTGACAGTCTGGTCCTAGGAGACAGAAAAGCCATCAGCAAAAGGCTACTGCTGGGGCGGTATGAAATTTAGCCAAAAAGTCTGCTTTTTCCATGAGTTTAAGCTAATGCCGGAAAGTTTAGAGAGTCCTTATCACCTTCATCTCTGCTTCACGTGTGAAAACGAATTACGACCTTCCACCTGCCCACAGCACAGGCAGACTCCCTCTTTCTTTGGTTTTACAATAGTGTTTTGCTACTTTTTGTACTTGTTTTTCTCCGCTGTGTTGTGGGAAAGACCCACGTGGACAAGAGGGGAAATTACTGGACAATAAAGGGGAAACAATGACACTGACAGCACTCAGAGCTGTAAAAAGCACAAAGTAAACACAAAGGAAAAATATTTGTTCCCTTCTACCCCCTTGTTTGTTAAGCCATTAGAGGTGCGACTTACTTCCAGCCAAAGAGGGGAGCAGGCGATGTTTACAGCTGGCAACAGCACTTGCTTTTCAGCTTGTGTCCTTTCCAAAAGGCACAACCCCAAACAAACGAGCACACGAGTATTTTGAGAGCCTACACAGGGGAACCAGAAGTTCACATCCACTTTGGCGTACTGCTCTCCGAACACCACGCTGGTGTGCCCAGAACCTAAGGGTATGCTAGGAGGCTGGTAAAAAGCCAGCTTGTTTGGGACTGCTAAACAATGCTCAACACCTTCAAAATGCAGACATACAAGGAAAATCAGAAGTTCAGGGAGGAAGCAGGACCACGAGCCTGACAGTCCCTAGCAGCAACAACACTGAGGCTCTCCACTGCAGTCCTGAATAAGGTAGACCTAAGAATAAATCACGTACGATGAGCAGACAGTTGAGGGCTTTTGTGTGCTGGCCTTCATTAACCTAACAGGGAGCTGAATTAACTTCTAGTAACCCAAGAACCCACATGAGACTTTTGGACACCCAAAGGAGTCATCAGACCTTAGCGAGACTCCTCTTACTCCCCACTCAACTCTTCCCACTTCAGCACAGTTTAATTTTCATTCCCCAGGTGCATAACCCGTTACAGGGAATACTCTAACGATGCACAGGACTTTTCCAGCTCCAGCCACTTCTCATAACTACCTGCTGACACGGACCTTGCTTCCCTTCTTCCCAGTTCTGTCTTGGGTACTTGGCTGCTACATGTCTGGTTTCTAATTAGGCCAGAAGTTGGTTGAGGCACTTGCCCCTGTCATTAATTCAGATGCAAACAGCAGTTTAATGGAGACATACAGAGAAAAGCCCCCCCACCTCAAAGCAGGTTACCCACAGGCTCTGCCTGAGAAGCCTAACCCGTAGCTAGAGGAGCCCCTCTGGGGGCCACCAGCAGTAATGGGACATCACCATGAAGCTGCCCAGTTCAGGGGTGTGGCTGGAGAAGCAGAGGACTCCCATCAAGTGAGGCAGGGATTACCAGGCAACACCAGTCCTAAAGATGACGACCTACTCGGGGAACAGCTACAAGCAAAAAGGCTTCCTGGGGCGAGTGATGCCTGGTGAGAGCTCGGCCTGATGCCCTTTCCCTTTCTGCATTCCTGTTTTGCACGCAGCAAGGAATAAGTTGCTATCCATTCCTTAGAGCTGCAAGGAAAACGCGGCCGTGACCACAGTGCAGGGAGACCGTGGTGTTCTAAGTCACGCACGGACGTGCCTGACGTGGGAAGCAGGCGTGTCCCCCGCTTCCCATAGTTATTTTATGGCACAACACCACTTGAGAGGGTGATCCTGACAGATGGAACGGAAGGGCAATGCAAGAGGAGCTCTGAGGAAACTGAAGCTGCTAGAGAAGCAAAGGCAGATGGAAACACAGAGCAAGATGCCCAAGGCTTGTGGCAGAAGAGTGGCAAGAATAACTGCGGGTAAAAGGAAGAACGCTGTTCCCCAGGATAAACGCCTGCCTGCTTAACTGACCTGCTGGACTTCCACTTCTGATTGTAACGCATGATGGAATCGAGTGCGTATACCCAACCCACCACGAGCTTCAGCTTCATAATCTCCACAACCCACCT